GCTTAATTTATCTCACGATCACGCGTCCGGATCTCACCTATTCCGTTCATGTTCTGTCTCAATTTATGCATGCGCCTCGCCTTGATCATATGGAAGCTGCCAAACGAGTTCTTCGCTACTTGAAGGGTCATCCAGGACAGGGTATTCTCTTACGTAGTGACAGCTCACTACAGCTATCTGCTTATAGTGACTCCGACTGGGCATCTTGTCCTCTTACTCGTCGCTCTGTGAGCGGCTACTTTATCCTTCTAGGTGGCTCGCCAGTTTCTTGGAAAACAAAGAAACAAACCACCGTGTCCCGTTCATCAGCAGAAGCTGAATATCGTGCCATGGCTAACGCATGTGCAGAGGTACGATGGATCCGCGGTCTTCTTGGGGCACTCGGCATTACTCCACCGACGACGCCACGTTTGTTTTGTGATAACAAGTCCGCTTTATTTATTGCTGCCAATCCTGTTTTTCATGAACGTATGAAACATATTGATATTGATTGCCACATCGTCCGTGAATGCGTTCAGCGCGGTGAGATCGCCACCGCATATGTTCTTACTCGGCTACAAATTGCTGATTTGTTCACTAAGGCTTTGAACAGGCCTCTCTTTGAGTTCTTATTGTCCAAGTTGGGCATTTGTGATCTCTATGCTCCAACTTGAGGGGGAGTGTTAGCATATATATTTATTTACTACCATATATGTAATTAGTTTCCTTTGTAATTAGTTTCCTTGGTAATTAGTTTCCTTGTTAGTAGTCCTTTCCATACTTGGAGTAGGACTTGGCACATGTATATATACGTTGTGAATATTGAATGAAAGGCAGTTGAGTTTTTCCAAACTTCTACAAGTTAGTTTAGAGTATCGATTGTAAAAATGAGAATTCCTAATTCAAACTTGTGATGTCACAATCCTCACAAATGAAGATGTTGTGAAAGCTCCCTACCTCCACCACCGGTCAAGCCGGCCGGCCACCAATGCCAAGTCAAGTTTCCCATATTCAATACCAACCAGGGGACCGACGACTACTTTTCGACCATATGCAGAGGTAATTAAAGAAGTGTCATTTAAGAAGGGGGGTGGGGAAATGAAGGAATATGTGGTCAGGTACGTAGCATGCATGCAACAAGTTAAGTCACTTCACGGCAGCTGCTAGAATAACTATTGATTCTTTTTTAGTACCGTTTTAAAGAGTGACATTTGGATATCATTTATTCCTACTTCTGTACCTAATATTAAAAATGGAGAATGATATTATGAATTCACCACCCACGTCTCCACGCATGACAATACAGATGATTTTATACCTGCACAGATGATAATTGTCTATATTGTTCACAGCTGATTATCATATATGCAGGTATTAAATCGTCTGTATTGTCATGCGTGGGGCGGGAATGGAGGCACTATAGCACGGTCTATTATTACAAATGTTACTACTCCCTACACTATATGGTCAAAATTAATCTAGCTAGAAAAGACATTTATAACGTAACTCATATTGAGGATCAGTATCACTTGTCAAGAATCAACTCAACCAAAACCTCAAGCTTACAGTTGTAAGTATAAAATATGTTTTATATTCTAACACGTTCTCTCATGTACATGCGAGATTTGTTTTTGCTTGAGTCTTGCACATAAATGTTAATTTTTTAAAAAATTGGTTGGCAGTGAAGTTTGAACTCGTGACCTTTTAATAATCATGAAAACTCTGATAACATGTCAAAAATCAATTTAATCAAAACTCTAAACTTGTATTTGTGGGGTCAGGCCCCAGAGCATATTTTATAGAGAAATGTACTTAAAGTAAAATTTGCACTAAATAGGACTAAAACATAATGACTTTCCCAATGTAGGACTTAAACTTTCTTATTCCCTAAATAGGACTTAACAATGACCTAGTGGGAGGAATAATGTCCAGTAATGATGGACATTTACTTGAATAATGACTATTTGATAATGACCAAAAGTCCTACATTGGGAAATAAAAACATATGGTCCTATATTGGAAAAGTCATTATGTTTTAGTCCTATTTAGATAAATTTCTCTTACTTAAATAGGACTAAAACATATTGATTTTCCCAATATAGGACCATATGTTTTTATTTCCCATTTCCCAATGTAGGACCTTTGGTCATTATCAAGTAGTCATTATTCAACTAAATGTCCATCATTACTAGACATTATTCCTTCCACTAGGTCATTATTAAGTCCTATTTATGGAATAAAAAAGTTTAAATCTACATTAGGAAAGTCATTATGTTTTAGTCCTATTTAGTGCAAATTTCACTATTTTATATTATAACACAAACAATAAAACATGAACTTGGATTTTCACAATTGCTCTCAAAGTATATCATACAAAATGGCATATGCAAAACATAAGATATCTTCAAGGTCTGGGGGAGGGGGGGAGGGAATTCACCATATATAACAATAAAACTAAAATTAGGATTCAATTACTTTCATTTAAGTAAGTTTAATTTATAGGTTAAATTGCACTTTTAGTCTTGTAACTTTACTATCTTAATAATTGATCTCTTTGTTACGTTGTTCATTTCAGGGAAGTTGATTGCGTCTAGACCTGGCAATGAGATAAATCAAATCTTTTTCGATTTAGATTTATTCAATTCAGATATCTATCAATAGGTGTTATAACTGATTCTATTCAATTTAATTTTGATTTAGAGATTTAATTCAATTCTAGATATTTTGGGTTTCGATTTGGTTTCAGGTCGATTCAAATTCACTTTGGATATATTTCAATTCGATATATTTTGGTTTTGGATACGTTTTGGTTCGACCCAGAGTATTTGTTTGTTTTGATTTTTTACGGTCAACCCGACCATATCGATCCTTAATTTATAATTAAACAAAAATTAGGGTACATGTTATATGAACTAGATAAAAAATACTCCGCATGTAACAAGATAAATTTAATAAAATTATTCTTGTATCAAATCTAGCATAAATTTTATTAATAGGCAAAGTTTATCAATTTTGACTAGAAAAAATTAAAACTGGAAAAATACTCTGGGACGGAGGTAGTATTTTTATATTAAAATTTAAAATTTTATGTTTCATTCTTTAAAATATTGCATTTATCAATGTATAATCATTTCATCATCTCACATTATTTTACCTTTTCCTAATCAACTATATTCTTTTTTTGACCTTTTTTTCCTTTTTTTCACTTTCTTCTTACCTTTTTAATTTTTTTGGCTGGCATTTTTAGTTTTAAACTTTTTACTCCCTATCCTCAAAAAAACTTTTTACTCCCTATTTCCTTAATTTTCCTTTCTCCTTCAATTCTTTAGGATTTCTATCCCGCTCAATCTCAACCATCTCTCGCATTAAAGGACATAATGTGTAACATTCTGATATAAAAAAAGAGTCTATTTGTCAAAAATAATTAAGACAAACAGAGTATCTAAATACAGAGTATATAACAAACTTGCACATGTGATAAAATAAAGTAAAAATTAAAATTAAATACTTGTGGTTGTAAAGAATCAACTCAACCAAAAGCTCAAATAAAAAAAATTATGTAGGCTAAAATCCACCATTGGTCCTTCAACTTTATCAGTTGTGCACGATTGGTCCTTTAAGTTTCAAAAGTCCATAAATAGTCCTTCAACTTTATGAGTTCTGCACCATTGGTCCTTCAAGTTTCAAAAGTCCATAAGTAGTCCTTCAGGTACACGTCAGCCCTCCAGATGAAGTCCTTTTGACAGTAAATATTAAAAGTTAAACGAAATACTAGTTTCATATAATACGAGTAAATTCNAAAATTATGTAGGCTAAAATCCACCATTGGTCCTTCAACTTTATCAGTTGTGCACGATTGGTCCTTTAAGTTTCAAAAGTCCATAAATAGTCCTTCAACTTTATGAGTTCTGCACCATTGGTCCTTCAAGTTTCAAAAGTCCATAAGTAGTCCTTCAGGTACACGTCAGCCCTCCAGATGAAGTCCTTTTGACAGTAAATATTAAAAGTTAAACGAAATACTAGTTTCATATAATACGAGTAAATTCCACTAGATACGATTACTCCGTATTATATGGAGCTAGTATTCCATTTAGCTTTTAACATTTACTGTCAAAAGAACCTCGTCTGGAGGGCTGACGTGTACTTGAAGGACTATTTATGCACTTTTAAAACTTGAAGAACTAATCGTGCATAACTCATAAAGTTGAAGGACTATTTATGGACTTTTAAAATTTAAAGGACCAATCGTGCACAATTGATAAAGTTGAAAGACCAATGGTAGAGTTTAGCCAATTATGTATTTCCTTCTAACTTCTCTTCCTCTCTCTCATATCCTTCCTACATCTCAAACAAACAAAGCCTTAGGCAGACACATAAAATCCCAATCATTTACTACTATAAACCCTTTAAGGACAGAAAGTTTTCAAACAAAGCCGTGTTTGGTAGATTGAGAGGTGGTTTTGACATTGAACAAACAGAAATCTTTTAGAACATCACAATGCACAATAATGTTGTCCCAAGTGAAAATGTGACAATAACAAACCAAGCAACAAACATGACCTAAAAGAGGCTCCAAAGTCCAAAGGCTCAACTACATAATATTATCAGCACAATTACTCTGTGGGTCCCCCTTTTTTGGAGCAACCATGATTGAAACCTCAACAGAGACAGGTCAGACATCCTATTCCTCCTCACAGATAAGATGTGTTGATGAAGAATGCAGACAGCTAGAATCATTGGCCATTAAGGGCCTGTTTGGGTGCTTAAGAGGAAGAAATTGAGAGGAATGTGATAAGGGAAAAAATTAAGGGTGAAAAAAGGGATTGGATTTTGAGAAGAAAACAGAAAGAAAAAAAAAATTACATTGAAAATATTATGGAAAGAAAAAAAGTTGTACTCACTAAAAATGTTTGATTCCATAGAGTTTTAAATAAAAAAAAAGTAAAATGTGAAAAAATTTGACAATTGGAACACATGTACTCCGTATTTTGTTTCTCACAAGAAAATATGATAAAATCATTTTGAAACAGCTAAAATAGTACTCCGTAAAGTGTAAATTTGATTTTGAAAACAACAGAATATATGCATTCATAGTTGCTCCATTTGTTCTCATGGAAGTCCAAAAAGTAGTGGGGTCCACTTCTTTTACTCCTTTGCTATCCAAATGAAAGAAACACTTCCACAATGTTTGGTTCAAAAAATTTGAAAATGAAAAGAAAATGAGGGTAAAACAATTTTTTTGTTTATTTGAGAGAAAAAGAAAAAAAAATAGAAGGAAAAGAAAATGAGAAGGCAAAATATATTTTAAAAAAAAATGAAATTCCTCTCACTTTTTTTTGTGAGGAAAATAAGAGAAAACAATTTTTTTTCCTTCCAAATTCTTTGAACCAAACATAATCTTCATTTCATTTCTCCAAACATTATCTTTCTCTATTTCCATGGAAACAAACAGACCATAATAAAAGGCATGCCAATCATTAACATAATGTCATGTCCCATGCAAAATACTCATGTTTTATACATAAAACAGTCTACTACCAAATCCATCCATTATAGACCTTCATCATGTCATACAAAGCTAAATCACAATAATACTAACTAATTATAATAGCTCTCCCTCTCTCTCTCTATATCCATAGTAGCCATTAAAGCCCAGAGAGAGAGAGAGAGTCTAGTTTTTGACCTAAACAAAAGACCAGTTGATGAACATGAAGGCCAGGCAGTGGTTGGCATCTTCGTCGTTCAGAACTTTCCACGCAATCCCTTGTTCATATGACACCGGCCTCCCCATGCTCGATACACATATCCCCGGCGGTAGGTACGCAAATCCCTGGGCCCACACACACGCCAGATTCGTTCATCAGAAGCGAGAAGAAAAAAAGTGATAATTATTTCAGATGAGAAAATTTTTGTGAGCCAAATGTTCGTTTTTTTTTTCGGGACATCCAAAAAATACTACGAAAAACGAACATTTTTATCTAAGAAAAAAAAAATGCGCCGTGACGGGTTCTAACCTGCTGCATGATCTTTGAGAATTCGGAGACAAGAACTTTGCGGCCAGCTTCATCAAGAATCTTGTCAAGCATTACGTCTTGGAGGGCTAAAAGAGTGGTTTCTAGCAGGTCAAGCCCGGCTTGGTTTGCGAATGTGAACACAGCAGATGCCTACACGTTTTTAAAACCCTTGTGAAGGTTTCTTTCGAATGGTGTAATTGTAATGTGAGTAGAAAGAGTAGTAGAAAGTCTAGTAGAACGGTTAAAAAAAAAGAAAGAAAATTGGAAGCGCGGCGTTGGTACTAACATTCATTTTGACAGAGCAGCACATGATTGCCTCAGAGTGGTGCCAGAGTTGCTTCAAAACCGCATCGCCCGCTTGTGACTCGAGATGCAGAAGATCGCTCCCTGTGTGCATCCTATTTGAACGCCGTGTTGATACCGGAGAAAGTTAGGATTCATCAACATCATTAAGAATCCTCCATTCGTTCCTTTTTAGCTGACCATTAATTATGACTTCCTTGATACATTGAAAAATGAATGAATGTGGACATACTCTGTGTCTACATTCATTCATTGTTCATTGTATCAAGAAAGTCATAGTGGCCGGTTAAAAATGAACGGAGGGGATAGACAAGTACAGCAACCACAAAAACATACCTGTAGCTCCTACAGATCCATCGGGACAGAGTGATAGCTTCTGGTGAGCCAGGGATGGTCTTTGGAGCCAAATGAGGACTAATTTGAGACGGCGCGATGGCCATTGCAACTCTCTGGACAGAACCCACAATGCTCCGCACGTACTGGCGGGCCATAGCAGCCACGTTGTCGCGATAATGGTTCTCAAAACTGAACTGGAATGCAATTGTCAGAACGGAACGGTGGCTATAACTGCTAGGTTCAACAACTTCACTCCCACCAGCCTGACGAGTCCCACCACCTTTTCCCACCTCAAGTGTAGAAGCCAAATCCAAGGTCCTAGCCGTTCCAGGCACGTCCTACATTGTCCAAAATCTTTAGAAATTTGGAATAATAACTCGCGACGCAAACAATAACATTGTTCATATCTACAAAACTCAACTGATTTTGGCTCGAGTGGTATGACGCGAAAACCAGAAGGCAGTAGAGGGGCATCGTCGCCGAAAGATTCGTCAATTGGTGCAAAAACAAGCTGGGCACAGCCTCCACCAGCATTCTCATCAACCCCACTGCACAACTGTCATCAACAACAAAAACAGCAACCTAGTAAGGTCCAACAAGGCATCGTTGTATAAAAAAATGATCTTGTTTCTACATAATAAAGACAAAGAAATGAACGGGATTCAGAGCAGGCATGTTGTAAACCTGTAACAAGTACATGTCCCGTGATAAAGCAATGTCATCGGGAGAAAAAGCGGGGCCCTCCAAACGGACCACCTCCAAGAACTAGAGAACAAAAAGAACAGGTTAGTATAAGAGAACCTCTGTTTGTGGAACAAACAATTTGGAACGAATTTTCATAGAGAAGAGACTAAAGAAAAGCTACCTCCTCGTGTTCCACAGTCTGGGCAAGAGGTAAAATGACATGGCTACTGGGGAAACCACCTGGCCTTGCAAGAGGTACAGCATAAGGACTAGCTTTAAGAGAAGCCGCGGTGTATGTGTCAACCCCATAGTCAGCCCATTCAGATCGATGCTCTCTCAGGAAACGAACTAGTAAAGCAGGGGGAACATTCTGCACCACCACAAAAAAAAAACATAATTTCAAGAAAAATCAACGAAACGAACAAGTAATATAATATAACATGTTTTGAGTAACATTTGGCCACTAAAAGTGCCTTATTTTAAAGACCTGAAAGCACTTGTTGAAGTGAACGAACCTGAAGCAGCATTGAGGCCCTTGCACAAAGGACTCCACCAAAAGTGGGGAGCATAGACAAGTTGTTGTTGTTGTGAGAGCCAAAGAATTTGGTTGGAGACGAGTTTATGGCAATGGTCACGTCCTCTATGCCATCATTGCCTATAACAGTCCATCCATCATCAACAAAGCCGTTAACAGCATCATTGAATCCCCTGCATAGCCTCTGACTCAGAGACCTCAGAACCGAGGGCTGTCGGCCCCCACTGTACTGGATTTCCCCACTGGTTTCCTGTGCTATTTGCCGTATGTGGCGTAAGGCCTTGAGAAAACAAATTTATTTCATGAGTCTAAGGAAATCAAAAGAAGTTGCAAAGAACACAAGAGGTATTTATTTCTGTTGGTTGCTTACAGCCATTGTCATCTTCTGCACAAGAATCTTGGATGATTCATAGAGTGGTCTCAGCACTTCGGGGATGCTCCGAACCTGAAGAGAGATAGGAAAATGGTTATGGGTAGGGCTAGAATGGTAAAATGAGGTGTTCTCCAAATGAATGCTTGGAATAATAACAACAATAATAATAATCCATAATAATAATAATAATCACTACGTACGTCAAGGTCAATGTGATCCACGATATGGATCATGGAGCCACCTCCCTCACAAGGCCTTATAAGATAGCCACTCGGCAGCATTTCTGCCCTCACGAAACTTGTAGCCGGAGGTCCTGATGGGCCACCAGTTTTAGAAGTCAAGGATCTCTCACATATCTGCAAGTTAAATGCCAAACAATTTTTTTAAAAATTTTTTCTAAAAAAGCGTAGGGAAAAAGGGATATGTAGAGACATCTTGCCCCTTAGTATTGGGTTTCTTTGGTCTGGTTTGGTTATGCATGGAAGAAAAAAAAAGCACAACAAACATACCACAAGACTACCATCTTCCAAGTTTGTAGTATATCTGAGCGTCCAAAAGTCGCGAGCCGATGCCAACGTTGTAGGTGCATATGTCTAGAAATAAAAGCATAGTTGTTATTTTAATTGATGTAGTAAAAGAACATTGATGCCTAAACGAAGAAATGTTTATTTATTTTTGCGCAGACAACACACATACTTGCATGTACACAAGCTCTATCGTCCCTCCATTCCCGGTGGGGAGCACACTAAGCACATTAAGACAACGACAATCACGATACCAAGAAGGGCGATCTTTTAGAATTTCAGCGACCTGAAACAGCAAGACCAGATACAATATAGGACCCAAGAAAAACCCCAAATACTTTTCTCAAAGAAAGTATCATTTAAAGCCCGTTTGGTTAGAGGGTTATTTGGCTGAATCTGCTGAGTTTCAGCCATCTTCCTTACAGGAAAAGTGTCTGGTAACATTGAACTCAGCCAAACGGGGTACTAAACAAAAGGTGTAATGAGTGGAAAACTGAAAGAATGAAATAAAGGAGTTGGTAATGTACCTTTGTGGGCTCAAGGCTCACAAGACCGCAGGCTCGTCCTGCTACCCCACTACAGTTGCGGGAAACAGCGACGATACCAATGGAATCCGGACCAGGCTAAAATGGAAAATAAAAGGAAAATGGAAGTTATTGTCTGGCCATCACTGAAATGCAACTGAAAATAGAAACAACACTCTTACCTTCATACCAATCATCTGTACCCAATCGACAGCCGTTCCTGTGGCCTTTCCAAGGAACTCTGCCAAGGTCTCCTCAGCTATTGCAAGAAGGCTGCACAGCAAATGAAGGAAAAAACACTTCTATAGTAATGCTTTAACATAAGAGTTGTTATGAAAATAAAAGATATTCGGTGTAAAACAATGGGGATAAATAAAGATCACAAATTCAATTACCCAGCTGGGTTATTGGCATCCCTTTGTGGGTGCTGCGACATTGGGTTTGGATGTTGCTGCTGTTGAGCACTCACGACCACAGATTCACAGCTCGTATCTGTGGTCGTGGTGTTAACCTGTCACAATATAATAAAAGCCCACAAACATCAGGAAATAAAATTGTCCACTATTTGTTAATGTTACATTACGGCTCGGGTTGTTTGGGAAAATATTTTTTTAAAAATTTCTTTTTACTTTAGCAAATTTTTTAACTGATTTCTTTAACAACCTAAGGAAATTCAGTCCAGCATGCTTACAGTAGTCAATTGCTGTCGCATGCACCCATTCTCATAGACCAGATGTGAGACTTGCTTCTGCAAACGGTCGTTCTCTTCCATCAAGAGCTTGTTCATAGCATTCAGCTTCCTATTCACTGTCTGTAGACGAGAAGCTTCCTTTCGTTGCTTCTCACGGCACCTGTGAAGTGAAAATGGGAAAAAAAAGTTATTTCCAATGCAATCAGATTGAGGAATAAATTGATGCTAAAATCTACATTTCCATATATTCAAGATTGTTCCCGTTCAGATACATTAACAAAGGCCAAGAGTATAATTGATGCAAAATGGGATGAACCCTCTTGCAAAAAGATGAAAGGTAAGGCTTGTATGCATAAAATACTTGTGGGGCCCATCACCGGGCCCTCGCTCGGGTTGCTACAACTCCCAATATTTAAAAGATTGTTTTTTTATCTTCTATTCTAAGGTTAGGAATGGAAGTTACATATCAAAAGGGCAGAGGAAATAAAATGAAGTGATTATCTTGTTCCATTCAGGTTTTATCATAAACTTTAGAGAAACCTACAAGGGGCAAACTGGCAATAAACCAATTTATGGACAAAATAGGAGTCAGGTCAACTTAGACTACTTGTTGACTGCATCATAGTTTGAGCTAGATAGATTCCAAATTACCATAATGGTCACCATAAGCATTAAAACTTTTGAAGAAAAAATTAATCTTTGGTTTCTGCCATTTAAAGAAAAAATAAAGCACATTTTACTTATTATTTGATGTTTGAAAATAAAAAATTACTTTAAGAAAGAAAGAACACCTTTCAAATAAATTATCAAAATATTTTTGATCTTATACCAATTTCAATAAAACACCATCTGATTACTTTTATTGATGTCAGATTCTCACCTAAAAAGGGAATAAACAAAACCTAAAAGCGGAATGCCTCCAGAACATGGTTTTCAAAAGATTTGAACAATTATTTCAAAATAAGCCACAAGAGGAAACTCATTATCAAACCCAAGCTTCAGAGCATGTAACTGAGTTACCTTTTTCTAGTTTTCCTTTCTTTTGCTTTATCAAGATAAAAATCAAACACCCCACGAGAAATTAAAAGAAAACAATGAAAAAAAGAGAAGATTTTTTCAAAACCCACAAAATAATTTGCAGAAAAACAACTACAATAATTTAAAAAACAACAAAAAATTCCAATTAGCAAAAAAAAAATTGAACTTGCAGAGATAGAAATGCAGCTGTAAAAGAACCCACCCCCCCACCCCCAAATCCCAGAAAAATCCCCAAAAAACATTTGAAATTCACCTGATTCAAACTTCAAAGAACAAATAATATAACCTGCAAACACCCCCACCTCAAAAAAGAAAAGATTTTGGATAAAGGACCCAAGTTTAAAAGAGAAAGAAGGGGATAAAGAGGGAAAGGTGTGAAGGGGGGAAGTTAAGAGTTTGACAAGCAGACACACAAGGAAAGCACATAAATGGAAGCATCAAACCTTCTGTTTTGAAACCAGACTTTGATCTGTTTAGGCTCAATGTTAGCCAGAATGGGGCACTCCCTAATGAGCTGCTGCCTCCTGAGAGAGCTGGGTTTTGGGCACTCAGCATAAACTCTCTCCAGTGCCTCCACTTGCTCCGGACTGTACCTTACATACTTGCCGCTGTCCATCTGAATCTGCTGTTGTTTGCCGCTGCTTCCACTTCCTCCACTGTTTGATGATTCTCTGTGCATAGCCATAGCCATACCCAAATTTCTCCTTTTAATTTTTCTTTAAAAGAACAAAAAACTAAATCTTTCCCTTTTCTTCTTCTTCTTCAATCAAAAACAAGAAATGGGATTTATTTTTTTATTTTTTTGCATGAACGAATGGCAGAGAGAGGCTCACCCTCCGCCTCTCTCACTCATTGAAGTTGGTATGGGGATTTCTCGATTTCCTCGCAGAGATGATGAGAAAAAAGATTCGATCTTTCCTCTTGTGAAGCAAAAGGGTGCGTGAATGTGGAGAGGGGAGAGCTAAAAACAACTTTAGAAAGAAAAAAAATTCGAGAAATTTTTTTAAATATGGAACACAAAAGGGGAGCTTTTTGTTTTGTTTTAAGCTATCAAGAGAAAGAGGTCCACTGGTGTTCCTCTTTTAATTAAGATGCCCATCTCGAGAACTTTTTCAAGACTGTGAGGTTTAGAGAGAGAAAGTGATGGGTGGCGCCGCGGTGGTGGTGGTGGTGGTGGGAGGGGATGATATAGTGGGGAGGCACGGGAGTGACACAGCAAGTGAACAGAAAGCACGGTTACTGTAACCATTCCACCCTTTTCCGGCTTTTCTCTCTCTCTCTTTTCGTTTTCGCCCTTGAAAACAGTACCGTATATACGCATGTGTAACGTTATCGCCCCGGAAAACAGTACCGTATTGTCCGGATGTACGCATGTATAACGTTCCCATCCGCCAACACACCACTAATGTGAGGGCTATTCCAATCCCTCTCAAACACGTTTGATAGAAATCATGAAAAAGGGCCCATCGTCCGCATCGATAGCTCAACGGGTTCAACGAGAGGATGTCTAATTCGTAGGTTCTAAAGTCGGATCCCGGCAACAGCAATGTGGGAATTCAATAATTTAAAATAGTTCTTTGTGTGCACCAAGTACGAGATAACCTCTCTAAGAACTAGATTGTGATTATATCGTAAGAGTGCCTGGGGTGGGTATTCCATTTTTTTTATGAAAAAGGACCCATGGGTCTGAGGTCGGTGTTCGAGTGGTCAATAGGGAGTGAGAAGAGCGTAATGATCGAGTTTGTATGAAATAATATATTTGGGTTCAATTGAATCCCCGAGAAATTGAAGCATCCAAGCTACTATAAACACCATAATATTGGTGTAGAGTGCCGATGTGAGATGAGAAAACTTAACACGCTCCGCTCACACGAGACACAAATAACTACACTGCAATCCCAACATCAATGGCCTTATCTTCGATACCATGTGAAATAGTAGACTTAGCCCTAATCTAACTCCAAAAGTTAACTCAAAAAGTTTGAGACACTTAAGCTATTATAAACACCACAATATTGGTCTAGAGTGCCAATGTGGGATGAGATAACTCAACAATTTGACTTCTAGCGAAGGCAAGTGTGAGATGATTTATGCTCATCATAAAGATTCTATGTTGGGATAAGAAACAAATTTCATTCTTTATTACTCACTTGAAATTCGAGTTTCATTTACCCCCTTTTAGGTATACTCAAGCCTGAGAGGCTTGGGGGGATGGGGTGTCATCCTTTTATGAAAAAGGGCTTAAGGTGTTCAGCGATGTAAGTCATGTGATCAATAGAGATGTATGCCTAAGGCTTCATTCCGTTCAACTTATTTTTTTGATCTCATCTGATTTTTTGTAGTTCTGATCTGATCTGATTGGATCTGATCTGATCTAGTCTACTGATTGGATCTGATCTAATCTAATCTGATTTCATTGGATCTGATCTGATCTGACCTGATTTGATCTAATTGAATGTGATCTAATCTGATTTGATCTGATTAATTATGATTCGATTTAAAATTCAAATCAATAATTTGATCTGTCTTTATAATAACTTTTGAAAATTGTAATGATAATTCATATTATAATATAATCAATATTTTTTATTTTATGATTACTTTTTAATGAAATAAAATTAGTTAATTCATATATAAGAGTAATCATTCATATTATAATGTAATAATATAATGTAATACTATTTTTCATTCATATTTTATAATGTAATAACTTTAGAAACTCAAATTACAGGTACCAATAAAAATGTATTTTAAAAGTAAAATTAGATTGACATTGTCAAAGTATTTTAAAAATATTTTTCCTGACGTCTAATAATCAAAGATTACTTTCCAGTTTTCTATTTAACTTGTTTCTAAAGTTTATTCTTTTTCATTTTTAAGAAAAAAATTGTGCTTCATATCATTTTATTTTTCTCTACAAAAATTATAATCGCACAAAAGTTTCATTTTCTTTCTTCTTATATTTTTTCAAGATAAATTAAACTTATTTTTTGAAAGAATCGTATCAAGTGAAACAAGTAAAAAGTATGGAATTTAAAAAGTATGTAGTAATAGTGATAATGATAATGATGATGATGATAATAATAATAATAATTCTTGATTGGATATGATTGGATCTGATCTGATCTAATCTGATTGGATCTAATCTAATCTGATCTAATCTGATTAGATCTGATCTTATTTTAATAAGAATTAAAAAAAGCATCAAAAATAAGATGAACGGAACGAGACCTAAGTTTGATTTCTAGCGAATAATGTGTGAGATGTTTTATGTTTTGGATACTTTATACTTTGTATAAAGATCTTTGTTAGACTAGTGATAGATCTTATTTTTTGTTTTTCATTTGAGATTAAAGTTTTATTTTACTTTCCTTATGTAGGCATCGGTTGGGTTTAAGGGGATCCTAGGATGGAGTTCATCTCTTTTTGTGAAAAATGATTCTGAGTAACTTGTCAATGTGAAAGAGCTATGTGGCGAGATTCAACTATTGGTTGTGACAGTAAGGCACATTTATATTTAGCATAAGATTTAAGTATGACGGATATAACTACGCCAGATCCAAACCAATAAGAGGAAAATAACTACATAAGGAGAGAAACACCACCATCAAATGAGTACGCACCAAAATCTTAGAACCACCACAAACCAAAAAGGAAATGATCAATTCGGAATTTATTTAACATAGAAAATAGAAAAACAAAGAGCAATAGATACGTTAATGGAACTAAAAGAATTTGACAGTGAGGACCTTATTCAACGACCGATTGGAAGAAAGAAGGCTAAATCAATTGTGTTAGGATCTGGGCTAGGCTCTAGTTCCTCTCACGATGATATCAGCCGGTAAATAGTTGAACATATGTGGTTGTTCAATCTTAGAGAAGAAAAGAGGGAGAGATGCAAGATAGAGAAAAGGGAGCTCGAAGTAATGAAAACAGACCTAGATACGTTAATGGGACTAAAAGAATGTATTACTAGTATTTTTTATTAATGTACTAGCAATTTTTTTTATTTTTAAAATTAATGTACTCATTTTTATAGCATATAAATTTTCTATTTAATGACTTATTGTGGTTTAGTATTAATTAATCAATGAAATCTTATTAATTTGATTTTATAAAATGTATATTAAAAAAATAATTTTAAGAAAGGTTTGATGCCTGATATTTCCAGTGAAACTATGATATAAGTTAAAGGGTGGTTTGTTTGAAGCCCTAATTTGAACCCAATGGCTTCAAACCCATTTCAAGTGCTCTTATGTTAAAAGAGTTTTTTTTGTATCCTTTATTCATTAACTCTTCATAAAGTACATGTTTTTCTCCGAACTTTTAAAATTGTAGCAATAGTCCTTATATTTTTATTAGAAATATTTGAAATAAATAGCACTAAAACTTAAGTCATTTCCCTAAATGGCACTTAAACTCTTATATTCCCTAAATAGTACTTAGTATTATCCATAATGTCCAGTGATGACGAATATTTACTTGAATAATGACTAATGCATAATGACTAAAAGTGCAACATTGGGAAGCCGTAAAAAGTCAAATGCGAAGAATATTTTCGGACGGAGAGAATATCATGGAGGACATAATTGCTAAGTATCATCTTGTTAAAATCTTCTTCTCTCACCTTAGTTGAGAGACGGCTAAAGATTGATAAAGACATCATTGATGAGCTTTTCTTTTTGTCTTGTTTAAAAAAAGTGTATACATTAGAAGTTCTTAAAGAAACTATACACATTAGAGTTTCATAAATTTATCTTGGTTGATTAATATCTTTAACCAAATTTGAAAATAAAAAACTCATCAATGACGTCTTCATGATACTCAGCTTCGAGTATGAAAATTTTAAAATAAAAATTTTAAGTCTTTTAAATCCAAAATACAAGTATGATGCCAGTGTGATAAAAAAAATACGCATTTGACAGAGTGATAGAAAAGTGATAGTAGTATGGTTAATAAACCTTGAGTGATTTTAGCGGCGATCTAGTGGCCAACGGCGACAGATGATAGTGTGGATGTGATAGTGTGGCAGTTGCAGTGTGACAATGTAACAATGGAAGTATGAACTTCTATTTTGGTCTTAAAAGATTTATGATTTTTAATTTGGTGTTTTCATAGTTTTTTAACTCTAATCCAAAAAGTTTTCTCTATTTTTTTCAATTTATTCAAGTTTGTTAAAAAATGTTGTTCAACTAAGAGAAATTCGTATGATTTCAACCATGCACCATTTTTGAATATATAAGACTAATGATTGAATTTTTAAATTTAAGTGAAAAATAGACATTTTATGAAAAGTATAGGGTCTAATGGTACACTTTTGAAAATTAAAAAAAAAACATGCATTTTATGATGAGTTCGATGACAAAACGTGCACTTTATGAAAAATATAGAGAATAATGATGCACTTTTCAAAGTTCAGGAAGGAGAGAACATACATTTTATGAATAGCTCAAACGTAAATGATGCAAAAAAACTCTTATTTAAAAATTGGCTAACATCAAGTATTTTCATTGTGCTTTAAAGTCAAAGTTATACATTTAACCATAAATAGAATGGATTTAGTCAATGAAGAAGGTTAATATAACTTGCAACACCATCAATGAAAATATAGGAAGTTCAATTCTGTCAAGGAACCAACTCAACCAAAAGTTCAAGCTTGTGGTTGTGGCCCAGGAACAGTTATTTATATTCTAACACGCCCCCTCACGTGCAGGCGTAGTTTTTTTCGAGCCTTGCACGTGAAACCTTAATTTTTTTAAACTGGGTGGCGCTGAGTTTCGAACCCGTGACCTCTTAGTCAACGAGGCTCTGATACCATGTCAGAGGAACCAACTCAAACAAAAGCTCAAGCTTGTGGTTGTGGCCCAGAAACAGTTATGTATATTCTAACAAATTCATGGTTTAATGATGAAAGTAAATAATGTAAATATAGTTCAATAACCATATATTTCAACCATGAGTGGCAGAGTGGATGTATAATTGCATATAGGTCGTATGCAATTTTACTAATACAAATTAATAATAATATTATTATTATTAAAGAACAAACTTGGAGGAGGTAATCCAAAAGGGAGACAAGAAAAGGGAACAAGATAAAAGAAAAACAGTCATTGCAACAAGTTTACCCCATAGAGAAAAATAAAGTTAAATCACAAGTGGTGGAACTTTAATTCTATGTATATATACCATGGGAGATGTTAGGGGTACACCAAAGGTGTACCCCAAATGTACACTACCCCACTTTTTACCATTCATTTTATTTTGTTATTATTTTTTATTTT